CTCTTCTTGTTCGCCACCCAGAGTCACTTCTTGTGAGATGGGCAGTCATATTAGATAGATAGATAGATAGATAGATAGATAGATAGATAGATAGATAGATAGATAGATAGATAGATAGATAGATAGATCAATCAAAGGCCTATCAAGTCTAGCATTCTATTTATCCAGTGGCCAACCTGATTGTCCTGGGAAGGCCACAAATTGGATGTACCTGCTCAAGATCTTCAGCAGCTGATATTCATATTCTGTACTGGAATACAACATCATAACTAGGAGCCACTGACAGTCTTTGCTTCCTTGAAATCCACTTGTTATTTGTACTGGGAAGAAATTGGACTTCTTCCTGACTGTATATAACAAAAATGTAGGTAAGGTGTTAAAACCCTTATGTCTACATTTTCTTTTCTCATTCCTATGTCAGAGTTCAAATCCAGAATGGACCAGCTGTATGTCTTTTAAAAGCTTTTTATACAATTGCTACTTTGGTCCTGAATCCTATCCATCTAGGAATATATGAATCAGGAAAAGAGTTCTTGTGGGAACTTTTTAGAACTTTTAAAATTCTGAGAGGACTGCGGGCAATATCTTGATTTGAGCTTCCTACTCTTTCTTCTTCCTGCAGCACAATTTTTTCCATTGAGGTCAGTAGCCCAGTGAACAAGTATGAGTGTGGAAACTCCCAAACACTGAAATAACTCTTGATATGATATTTTAAGACTGATTTTATTGTCTAAATTAAACTGGTCCTTTAAATACTGAATCATACTTCAAATGAGGTTTCTTCCTCATGTGGAGCTTGGGGCAATTACCTGTATTACTTTTCCCATAAAAATAGCTGGAGTTCTCATGTTCTAGAACAGAATGAGGAAACTTCCTGCACTGTTAAACCCTTATTCCCTCTAGTTTATCTGCATTGGCTAGCAATGATCCTGAGAATTTCAGATAGGAGTGGAGATTTCTGCATGCAAACTGGGATCACTAATGCTGAGTTCTGGAGCCTACCCTTAAAGGGGCTATAGCACTGTTTGCCCAGGTCCTCCAGAGGATACCTTTTGATTAGACTTGTCAATGACTGGTACAGGGATCTTCTTGTGCTCTACACTGAGCTATGGGATAGACAACCTAGTGGCCTTCAGATCTTTTGAATTGTGGCTCCCATAAACTTAACCCAGCATGGTCCAATAGTAACGTCCATGACAGTTGTAGTACAAAAGAAGGAGAAGAGAAGGAAAGGATTCTGGTAAGGAACAGCTTTCCTAGCCCCTAATTTTTATATGTTATTTAACTGTAGGATCAGAATCCACCTGTTAAGTTAGTAGCTGTGAATTGTGATCCATAACTTACAGCCTTTAAAATAGAACCCATAATTTTGATGCAAATACAGGCAAACAGGCAGACCATTCCACAGTGGGGGACAATTTGAGAACAACTTCATTGACATTTCTATAACAAGCTGCTCAATCTGAGAAGACAGGAGAAATTTAAAAAGACTGTCCCTTAAATACAGTGGTGATGACCGCATTATTGGAAGACCTGGAAGACCAGGTTAGGGACAGATCAGCAATGGAGAAAATCTATCTATGTCAGTGTTGTCCAAACTTTGCCACTTTAAGATGAGTGGACTTCAACTCTCAGAATTCCCCAGCCAGCCATGCTGGCTGGGGAATTCTGGGAGTTGAAGTCCACTCATCTTAAAGTGGCAAAGTTTGGACAACACTGATCTATGTGGTTGATAAGAGTCAACAGTGACTTGATGGCACACAATCAATCAATCACTGAAATATGGCAGAAAACAGCTTCCTTCTTTGCCAGATTCCCACAGTGAAGCAAACAGTGCTTATGTGGTATTTGCTGTGGAGATAATATAAGCTAGCTTCTGCCAAACATGTTGAGGAGTTGTATTCTGGGAGTTGTTGTCCCAACAAATCAGGAAAGCACCTGGTTAGTAAAAGTTGGTGCTCTCCAGATGTTTTGGGGTCCCAGAAATCTGTTGGTGAAGGCTCATTCACTTTTGTGAGAAGGGGAAAGTCTGCCCACAAGCTGTGTTTTCTGTCCTTTGTTCTCATGTTACTGTTTGTGCCCTTGAAATAGACATTAAAAATGTGCTGCTTCAAATGTTAGTTAGGCTGCCTTCCTGCAAACAGTTATGCTTGGGAGTAGGTGCCTCCAACCTGCCTTGGGTGATAGCAGACTAGGGTATCTACATGTTTGTACATTTACTTAAAGGTTGATGTACCATCTTGACATTTGAAATGACAACTGTAATGAGGACTTGCCTGGAAACTATTGCGGGAAAGTTAGTCAAGAATCTTTCCCTAAAGCAGCAAATAGTAGATGCCATTCCCAGCATGTCCTTGGTCTTGGAGGGGAAAATGAGAAAAACAGTTGGGTAGACATACACTGTTATTCTGTGCCAATATATGGGATGTTTAGGATGGAATATGCTAGGAGCTATATTTGTGGAATTGCACAAGTCTTAAATTACATTGCTATTGTAGTGAAATTCACTGCTACCAAGGGAAATGATTCTGATATTAATGCTTAATATCCATAACTCTGCAAGCCAAAATAATTTCCCCTCCTTTGTAAAACAGGTTATGATTACTATGCTTATTATGTGAACTATACTCTAATACTCTTCAAATCTTCATAGGTCAGTGTTGTCCAAACTTGGCCACTTTAAGATGAGTGGACTTCAACTCCCAGAAT